CTCACTGGCAACGCACCCTGGGGGTGGGGCACACCCCAGCAACACGCCTTCGAGGACCTAAAACGATGACTGGCGGAGGACGTAATCCTCGCCATACCGTCCCAAGAAGGTAGATTCCGCGTGGAAGCAGACTCAAGCGAAGGGGCCATAGGCGCCGTCTTGTCTCAAGAACAAGACAGCAAATGGCGACCCGTCGCCTTCCTCTCAAAGGCGTTAACAGTGACGGAAAGGAACTACGAAATTTATGACAAAGAGCTGCTCGCAATAATGCTTGCCCTCGAAGAGTGGCATCACTACCTGATCAGAGTGGCCGAGACCTTTGAGATCTGGACCGATCACCAGAATCTCAGGTACTTCCGACAACCTCAAAAACTAAACCGTCGCCAAGCTCGTTGGGTCACCGAACTCGCTCAATACGAGTACACTCTCCATCATAAAGCCGGGGTCGCCAATAAAAAGGCGGACCTCCTCTCTCGTCGCGCGGACCACGATCAGGGGGAAAACGATAACGAGGGAGTCGTCATCCTTCGCCCTGAACACTTTCAAGCAATGATAATGCCCACGGAGGAGGAAATGCACGAGCGAATCAAAAGCGCAACACGAGACCCGCATTGGTGGGACCAAAAGATCGCCGCCTCGCTCAATCATGAAAGAGGGCTCACAAGGAAGGAAGGGATGATCCATTATGATGGGAGGATCTACATCCCACACGACCAGAACCTACGCGGCGATGTCATCGCCAAACACCATGACCATGCTACGGCAGGATATCCAGGCATCGCCAAGACAAAGGAACTTGTCCTACGAGACTACTGGTGGCCCAAACTCACCAACGACATCACGGCATACGTCAAAGGTTGCGAAACCTGTCAAAGAGGGAAGTCATCCACACAACCGAAGGCGGCCCCATTACATCCTAATGAGGTGCTAGCACAACCATGGACTCATATATCAGTGGATATGATCACTGGATTACCAGATTGCAATGGCTACGACGCGATCATCGTCATAGTTGATCGATTCTCCAAAGCGATCATTCCGATCGCTTGTTCGACCGAGTTAAATTCGGAAGGATGGGTGAAGATACTGCGGGATGAAGTCTACGCGAGGTATGGGATGCCGCAAGTAGTCATCTCAGACCAGGGACCACAATTCGTCTCTAAGTTCCTTGCTGACTTATATAAACTGCTAAACATCACACACAACGCGTCGACAGCATATCACCCGCAGACGGATGGTCAGACTGAACGCGCGAACCAAGAAGTTGAAAAATACCTTCGACTATTTATCAACTACAGACAGGATGACTGGGTTGAATGGCTGGCACTCGCTGCCTTCCAGCACAACAACAGAGTCCACTCCGCCACAGGCCAAACACCATTCTTTGTCAACTACGGCAGGCATCCACATCTGACTCAAACGAGTCACCGTAAAACAACAACTCCAGCCTCTACAGACTTCGCACAGACGATGGAAAAAATACACACCGAAACGAAAAAAGCACTCGAGAAAGCAGCCGCGGCAATGAAGACCCAATACGACAAACATCGCCGCCCGGCACATGAGTATCATGTCCACGACAAAGTGTGGCTTGATACAACCAACCTCCATCTCCCGCGACCGAAACGCAAACTCGCCGACAAACGCATGGGTCCCTTCCCAATCCTTGCAAAAGTCGGAGAATCAGCATACAAACTACGCTTACCAACCGGATGGAAGATCCACAACGTATTCAATGAATCCCTATTGACACCATACATCGCGCCGGCCTTCCCAAACCAAGAACGACCACCACCGCCGCCCCCAGACTTGATCGACAACGAAGAACACTACGAAATCGATCAAGTATTAAACCACAAACTACGAAAAGTAAAAGCCCGCAGAGGCGGCACAACAACTACAGTTGACTATCTCGTTAGCTGGAAAGGCTATGGCCCGGAGTCTAACCAATGGATCAACGAAAAATATATGAACACAGACGACGCAATACATGATTACGAATTATCCCTTAATTAAGCCATCGGGACGATGGTCTTAAGCGGGGGGTAATGTTATGATTTATTCCTTTTTCTTTCCTTTTACCCCTATTCACGCTGAGTCAGAAGGCACAAGACCGTGGGGAGCTTAGTCAGCACAACTAAAACCCTCCATCCAGACATTACGACGGTCGTGCTCGACAACACACAATCGCCCTTTTATGTACGATAGCAACGCTCAAGGACAACGAGCACAATGGACCAGACATACACAATAGGCAGTAGTATAATTAGCAAACAGTTGTACAGTATTTAAGGACCACAGCTCTCGCTGGTATACCCCAGCTTCGAGCTAAAGTTTATACACGCCATTCTACCTCGAGTCTATATCTGACCTTGTGCCACACCAAACGGATATACACTAAGTGAACTCAGGTGATTCCTCGAAGTGCGAAGGAACACCTGTTTATCACGTGTATCTGTTCACGTGACGCTTGAGCCTAACAATCAAGAGCTTGACAAAGTCAGAGGTAATATTATGGATTGATAGTATTTAATTTTCTTCACCACTAGACTGTGTAAGGAAAGAGAAGTAGGAAGCTTTGAGCTAACTGTTAGATTTAACTAGCATGTGACCAGAACAAATAATAAACTAGCATTGTATTGTGTTCATACAGTCACATTAGAGTTCACTTGAATGTGTTCCAATAGACAAAGTGCTTCAAGGCTGGAGACAAGCTAGGCTCAAGAGAAGATAGTATGAAATAAACTTATAGCTCAAAGCTGGACTATTACAGTGAGAGCTATTCTACTTATATTCTGTTCAGCTTGTAATAAATATAACTACCATCTATTGTACTGTTCTATGCTAGAACACTGATCCTATCTGGTTGTTGGAGATAAGACAATGGAGAGTTGTCTGTAGGTGAAGTGACTGAGTACAATAGCACTTTGTCTGTTGTGATTATCTAATCCTTCTCATGCCTTTCAGGAAAGTGCTTAAGACAAGGTAAGCACTCTGATAAGATAAAAAAGAATAAAATATAAAGAAAATCATAACATCACTTAAAGATCATGAAGACAAAGAAATTAATGCTAAGAGAGTATAAAATGAGACAGAATATCAAAAAGTACATCAAGAGGTGTGAGACTTGTCAATAGACCAAATCAAGCACACAAGCATGAGTCACTCCATTTTATCCAAATGAAGTCTCTACAGAATCTTAGACCCACATCTTAGTCAATATGATCACTGGACTTCCAGATTATAATGGCTATAATACCATTATCATTATTATCAATGACTGATTCTCAAAGGTGATCATTCCAGTTGCATGCTTGATGGAGCTATCTTCTGAGGGGTGAGCAAAAATTCTACATAATAAAGTCTACACAAACTATAAGATGCCTCAAATCATTATTTCAGACTGAGACTCACAGTTTATCTCTAAATTCCTTGATAATTTTTACCATCTTCTTAACATCTGAAGCAATGCATCAACTGCTTATCATCTAAAGACTGATGGGCAGACTGAGCATGTTAATCAGAAGATCAAGAAGTACCTTCAGATGTTCATCAATCACAGACAAGATGATTGGACTAAATGGCTTGCTCTAGTAGTATTCCAACACAATAACTATATTCATTCTGCAACCAACTCTTTTTCATTAATTATGGACATCATTCTCATATCCTGGTCACTACCCAACACAACACTACAACTCCTGCATCAACTGATTTTACACAACTCATGTCCACCATCTATAATGAAATACACATGGCCCTCAACAAAGCTGCTGTCACTATGAAGGCCTAATATAATACACACTGGAGGCCTGCTCATAACTACTCCATCAATGACAAGGTCTGACTGGACACCAGCAATCTTCACCTCCCTCAACCAAAATATAAACTTGCCAATATATGAACAGAACCATTTTCAATTCTAGCAAAAGTTGATGCCTCCACATATCATCTAAAACTCTCTGACTCCTAATGTATTCACTCTGTCTTTGATAAGACACTCTTAATCTCTTATATCATATCTGCCTTTTCTAACTAGAAATACCCTCCTCTGCCAGAGTCAGACTTGATTGAGGATAAAGAATATTACAAAATCAAACAAATTCTTGATCACAAACTGCAGAAAGTTTGGGCATATAGTGGAAGCACTCAAATTATTGTCTATTATTTGATCAAGTGGAAAGAATATAGACTAGAATCCAATCAATAGATCTATGAATGAGATATGACCATGAATGATATTATATGAGACTATAAAACTTCCATCAATTAATCTATCAGGATGATGATCTTAAGAAGAGGAGATATTATAATTTTTTCCATATCTTATTCTTTTTTCTTATCTTATCAGAGTGCTTATCTTATCTTGAGCACTTTTCTGAAGGGCATAGGAAGAATTAAATAATCATAACAGATGAGATGCTATTGTACTTGGTCACCTCACCTACAGATAATTCCTCATTGTCTTATCCCCAACAACCAGTCAGGATCAGCATCATAGTACAGAATAGCATAATAGGTAGTGGTTATATTTATTACAAGCTAAACAGTATATAAGTAAGATAGCTCTCACTATAGTAGCCCAGCTTCAAGCTATAAGTTTATCTCACACTATTTTCTCTCAAGCCTAGCCTGTCTCCAGCCTTGAAGCACTTCATCTATCAGAGCACATTTAGTGAACTTTAGTGTGACTATATAAACATGATACAGCACTAGTTTATCATATGTTCAGATCACCTGCCAGTTAGATCTAACAATCTGAGTATAGAGAATATATCTATATAAGCTGATGTGCTATTAGCATCTATTATGAGTGTGTATCTATAGTGAGAAATCTATAGGTAGTCTTTTGGTCATGATTGAAAGTCCCAATTCTTCATAAGCAGAAAATAGATCCTCACTTAAAGAAAATTTACATGCAAATTAAAAGGTGGACATGGCTTATGCATGTGCAGATCCAAACTTATATGCCTATGTAGCCAGAAGAACAAAGACTTTCTCTGCTCATATGCAGAAATAATTGTTTTCATTCCAGTGTTTGGGTTATAGATTGTCAGGATCTGTTTTTTATTAGCATAGTTGTCAATCTTGGTTTCACAGAGTATGGAGAATAGTCTTTCTAGCAAGATATCATATGCTGTGTTCTCTACTACATGCACTTGTAGCAGCACTTTCAGACACTTGAAGTTGAAGAGCACATTCTTGTAAAGGCCCAAGGACTATTCTGTTTCTCTATTTGTGGTTAGTTGGAGTTTCAAACTATAAGAGTTTTGGCATCAGAATACAAGTTCTTCAGTTTTGAGGACTGCTAGTCAGCCAAAAGTGCAGCTAGTCAAGCCTAAGTGCTTGATAGACTTAGTATTTGGATTTCAGAGTTCATTGAATTTCAGAATATTCTAAGTTGATTTGGAGTGCAATTGTGTATTGATTCTAAGTCCTAATTATACTTAGATATTGCTATAAACTACTCTCATAGGTATTGCATCTTAAAAAGCAAGATAGAGTTGAATAACTATCTTTATTGACTGTTTCTTTGATTTTATTTAAGATTGCAAGAGTGCTTTTATCATACTCAAAACAACCAATCTCAACTGTATTCAGTGATTGTGTATTGAGTGGTTAGATGTTGGTGTTTGAGAGTTCATTCCTCATTTGCCTCTCTTAGTCAGAGAGATACTGTTATGCACATGCCACTGACCTCCACATTATCTTGACTGACTATGAATTCAATCACAAGTCCCACTGGACTCTGTCTGTTTTCCATTACCTATCAATTTCATTTTACTATTATTATTTCACATTCATATTTCACATTCTAGTATTTAGACCCTGAATATAGTAGTGAACAGTTGACACTGGAACCCAATGGACTCCAACTCAGAATTAGCTACCAATAGTATATAAACCATATACAAGCATTATAAATACTCAGCTCAAATATCAACTTGGATAGCCACCTATGCTTTATGCTCACTTCAGCTCCTCTTTATCTCATCCATCAGATTCCACTTCAAAGGATATTCCTTTTCACTTCTCTAATAGAACTCTGTTCTGTCAATCTAAATTCTTGAACCTCAACTCAAGGGTGATATTGCCAATAGCTTTGTTGATGCCCATGCACTTCACTAGTCTCTACATGTGCACTCAAGTCCAATCAATTGGCATGTTCTGAACAGTCAAAGTCTATTGACTCATCTATCTTATCCCTCTCCTCATCATCTTATATCTTCTTATCACCTGATATCTTTATTAAAGTAAGCCTTCACTTATGCTTCTATCCTTATCCACTGGATTTCTGATTGTCAAATAGTCATAAAAATTGATGCCTCCAATTATGCTATTGCTGCTATTCTGTCCATCTATCTTGATATATAGTTAGTAGCTTGTCTGAGTCAGAGTGCAATAGAGCCTGATGAGTAGTCTCTTTACTACTTTATAGATTCTGAGTTAGAAATAAAATAATAAATAAAATATAGTTTGAAATAAGAAAATAAAATTAGAGTTAGTATCATAGGATTCTCAGGTAGAGTATAATAAACTTGAAGAAAGGAAAATGTTCAGTATTTCTTCATTACATGAAAACTCTTTTAAGTTGGTTTGTGAAGCAGAGATCTGTAGCATGCATATTATAGTCTACTACATATAGATATTAGTGTATACTACTAGATTCCATAAACAAACATGTGTCATTTTCTTAGATAGCATATCTGTCTCTTTCTTGTGATCGAAAAAGCTGTTATAGATCACAGATCAAGTTGCTAGCTTCTGCTGCTAATGAATTGCCTTTAGAGTGTCCTGTATCTATTTCATATCATCAAGATACTTCTTTATGTGTGCCTTCTGTGGTTTATTAAGGCAGAGGTAGCTCATATCAGTGGCTAACACCTCTGTCTTTGTTAGACCCAAGCTGCATGTGATTTTAAACACATGATAAACTGATATCACTTTGCACTTCAAGTGAAAACATCAGAGTCCACTGATATGAGTATAGATTATGATGCAACAAAGCCTTAGTGATTGACTCAAGAGTAGAATGGTATGAATAAACTTTAGCTTGAAGCTGGGGTTATACCAGCAAGAGCTATCCTACTTATATACATGTTGTGATACTCCTATAAATACCCCTACTTATTATGTTTGTGCTGGCAATTATGCTCATTGTTCTTGAGTGTCACTACCATCTACAATAGTGTCATTGGGCATCATCAGGCAGCACTGTTGCATCAAAAGACAATGGTCAATTGGGCTTGTTGTGATGACTAAGCCAATCCCATAGTCCCTAGCACTGGTCTAGGCACTCTGACTAAGCATGGATAGGGGTTAATTCCATTAAAGAGAGAGAAAATAAGAAAAAATCATAACAGTCTTCTTCCACTTCTTTCATTTCATTCTCTCCTGGTATGTCAGATGATCTGGATTGACAAACTCTGGTTTAAAGTCTTTTCCTATTGTGATGAGATACTGATGATGGGTTTTGAGCAGGGCTGACATGTTTTTTTTCCACTCATTTTAATTGGAAGCATTCAGGTTCTTAAAATTAAGTGGAAGAATAACATAGTGTATGTGATTAATCTGATAATGTTTCAATGGTGGTGAGTGATAGAGAAAAAACTGATGGTGCCTTTTGAAGGCATGAGCAAGACACATAAAATCACAAAGAGTACCTTAGAGCATGCATGGGGCCTATAACTTGTTGCAGGTATGGAACACAGTGTGAGTGAAATATTGAGATGATGGTCCAATGCTTGAAGGGAAATTGACCATCAGCCCAGGAATTTTGTCTACAGCTTATATAAACTAACACTACTTGGTGAAGTACTGTGTCATTCTATAACAGAACCAGACATGGTGAGTTCAGAAGAGAAGGATTATTGAGAAGATGACAGGAAACATGAAAACCAAGTCCTGCAGAATGAGGAGAAAGTGAAAACTTCAATGGAGAGACTATATGAAGGCTGTGACCATCAGTATTAATGATATGAGAGGTGTACAAAATATAAAGGTGCAACTACTGCATCCACTAGCTTGGTCTGGCTCAAACTCAATGTGAGGAACAACTTTGAGAGATGCAACCCAGTTTTATCACTGACTTTATTTGAGTACAGCCCCATGATTCTAACAGAGGAGGAGCAAGCATTAAAGCTTGCTACCTCTATTCTTTTAAGTTTCTCAAAAAAAGTACAAGATGTTGTCAACCATGGTTTACAGAATGGATTGAAGAAAAATTAAGATATACACGTATGAATAACGCAACCATGTCCATTCATTTAACAGAGAAATGTAAATATACTCAACTCTCTTCTGTCAATAACTACTATTAGCAGCATGTCTTGACAAAGACAAAACGAATACTTTACCTTTGGTGCCAGGCGCGGCGAGATGCGGGTCGATCTGATCTGGAACGGATCCAGATGCAGGAGTGCTGGGTGGTTGTGATGATGTCTGAAACGGGGACGGTGCAATGAGAGAACGATGGAACCGTGCTCGGAACTCATTAGTTGGATCCGCCGGCGGTGGAGGCTGCTGGTAGACAGAGGTGTTATGCTCAATATCGACGGTAAATGCGGGTGGAGGGGGAGGTCCACCGTTGGCTGCCGCTGCTGCCTGCTGCTCGTAGTGTAACTGACGCTGCCAAACCAAAAAAGGTCATTGCGCGCCTGCATGTAAAGAAAATGCACGTACCTGGTGATTCCACTGATCCCACGCGTCGGCAATGATAGGTTCAAATGACGCGAGCTCCTCGTTCGACATATTGAGAGTCCGTAGCAGATGTTGCTTAAGCAATGGCGCGCAGGAGAAAGACAGAAGAAGGGTGGTGGCAAACGTCTGGCCACCGTGTTGCTGGCCGTTCGGGAATGGAGGTTCATGCGGCGCCAATGCAGGTTGTTGTTGCGAAAGCTCGCCGAGCACCTGCTGATACTGTTCCTCTTCCACGCGGTATTGGACTTCATCCATGCCCTGAAGGAGCTCGTTGCCCATGTCCAAGCCGAGCTCGCGCAGTTTGCGTTGTTTGACAAGCTGACGGTGCTTTCGTTGGCGTTCTCTAGCTGCAGCGCGAACGCGATCGCGACGAGCAATTTCGTCGGCGGTCATCTCGTGGGTGACGAACTCTGGTGCTGGTGCTGGTTGGGATTGGGATTGCTGGGCTGCTGCAGGTTGAGATGCGGATGGTTGCTGCTGGTGAAGAACGACGAGACCTAGGCCTATTGCCCTATCTCGCTCGCGTTTCCGTCGCTGACGCTCAGCAGCCTTTTCTCGCTTCACTCTCTGGCTGGGTGTTTCATTTTCTCTCGCCCGTCGTCTGGAGCTGTTGGAAAGAGGAGTGGCTGGTGGCACTGCTTCCATCATGGTGAACTGGCAGCAAATTCTGTGTATTTCTCCTGGTACGGCAGTGGTACCGTCCTGGATGCGCTGTGATCCTGGTGTGACCGGGACGTGCTCGTTGGCCGGCCTACAGTGACAAGTTCGTGACGGGCAGTGACGGGAGAGTGCAGAGCGTGTCACATACACCACAACAAGCCCTTCAAAAAAAAGGGCAGCGTGGAATATTTCCCACGCCACACCAATATTTCATCCCGCATGTACAATAAAATCATATAAAATCATAACAGTTCGCAATGAATTTATTAAACAATGCTATTTTCTAATAGATCATGGAAGACATGTCTGAACGGATGCGGTTGTAATCGAACAGTCCCTCAATACTTCCCAGAGCAGCCAAAGCGAACTAAAGCATGGCAACATCAGTATGCAGACAAACAGATAGTGCCGTGCATGACACTTACATCTTTATCCCATAGATACTTTTGTGCGACCCGTTTAATATCAGCAACAGAGACGACATCGACGGCGTTCTCGATTTGCTGAGGCGACATCCTTCTTCCACTGGTGACAAGCTGTCGGCCAATATCCTCAGCAACTGCGGTCGTGCCATCCAAACTCAACAACAAGCCAGCCTTGAGCTGACTCTTTGCGCGTTCAACTTCGACCTCCTCAGGAGAAATGCTCATTCTCGTCCATTCCTTCAACGTGTTGTGCAGGAGGTCATCCAAGTTCATCAGGTTCTCGGATACAAGGTAGATTCCCCACAAGCCGGTATCCGAATAAGAAGTCGAGAAGGAAAGGAAAGAGTTGGCAAGGTTGTTGCTGGAAAGAATGTGAGAGAGACGAGAGGAAAGGAGGTTAGAAGCGCCAAGGCTGCGATCCCAGTTGCCGAAGATGGACTGCATGACCATCATGGGGAAGTAGTCAGGTGAGCTCCAGCCGACGCCCTCAACGGCGATGGCAATGTTAGCAGTGGGAATGGCATCATCACGAACCCGTACTTCAGAGCCTACAAATGTAGGCTTAGGGTGTGAGAGACGGCCAAGGGGTATGGGGTTCGAAGACACAGGAAGAGTGGTGAAGTGCTTCTCGGCGAGCTTAACAAGGGCTTCATGTTCAATGCCTCCTGTGCCAACAAGGACCATGCGGTCGGCGGTGTAGTTGGTCTTTATGTAGGAGGAGAGGTCATCGCGATTGATGGAAAGGATGTTGCTCTTGGGACCGAGAATTGTGCGGCCGAGAGACTGACCTGTAGAGAAAAAAAAAATCAACGGTTTGCAATGACGAATAGGATACCTGGCTGACCTTGGAAGGCGACAGAGTGAAGGTGGTCAAAGACAACCTCTTCAAGCTGCTTGTCAACCTCTTCCTGTTCCCTAAGAATAACACCGCGCTCCCTCTCAATGGCCGAGTTCTCGAGCTTCGAGTTTTGCAAAATGTCGCTGATGATGTCCATGGCCACAGGAACGTCCTTGCTGAAACTTTTGGCGTAGTAAACGGTCTGCTCGCGGGAGGTATAGGCATTAAGATGAGCGCCGATGTTTTCGACCTCTACTTCGAGCGAGTGTTGGGTCCGTCGACCAGTTCCCTTGAAAGCCATATGCTCAAGGAAGTGAGCGGTACCGTTCGTCTTGTCGGTTTCCGCCCTGGAACCGGCGTCAATCCACACCCCAACGGTTGCTGTCTGGGCATGAGGCTGGGATTCAGTCGCGACAGTAAGACCGTTCGAGAGAGTCGTGATTTCTGTCTGGGGCCCGACGTTGTGAACTGTTGCAAACGCCCTTCTATATGGTCGCTACATAATATAATGGTAAATATAAAACATAACACAGAAAACCTCATACAGGAGCGCGAATAGCGCTTCGAACGAAGCGAGAAAGCATGATGGATAACGCCGACGACGACCAGCGAGGTTGAAAAGAGGTGTAAGCTGCTCCGGGCGTCAACGGATTTATCCCGCTTGCTCCGGCTTGCGCCGGCACCGATTACCTGACATCTTTCTGGACACTGATTGGTTGGACTCTGGTAAAGAACTCTGCCAGTGAGAGCTTGCGCAGGCCGAACAAAATCTGGGCATACGTCCCGGATATTTTTCTTGTGGTGCAGCGGCGCCCTTCTCAAATGATATTATCTCCAAGGATAGTCTTCCGAGTTTTATTGGCACCGTATGTACAGAGAACTATCATCAGACTTGGCAGACTCCTGCATCCCGGCGTGCTGAGGGTTTCGAGTCCATTGCTCAGGTCACTCAGTTGCTGCTTTCTCTCATAAAGCTCCATCAGGTGGTCTCAGCCATTACGCGAAGCATCATGCATCAGTATCGAAGTGATCCTTTGCTCGCAGCACAGGCATTGACATTTCCATTCCGCATGTCTGGAATTAGGATGGCTGTTGCACCAATGCCAGCGAAGAACATGAATGCTGCTTTCAGTATTGTAAAAAATTGATACATGTATTCCTAGGTCAAATCCTTTGAGTGATTCTGAAGCTACTGCGGAATGGGTCTCCCGTAAAAAAATGCCGTTTGGCGATGTATAATCGTGCTAGAAGATCACTAAGTGTTCGCCGAAAGAGCCTAGAGAGGTACTCAAGATAGAATACTATGCAATATTTTGGAGCAAAAGCAGGTTACGAGAAGGAAATGAAGGAACAAGTGGACTCAGTCCTGGAAATCCGGAACGAGGCGTCCCAAATAGGCAATCACGGCAACTTTCTCACAGTCAGCGAACGCATAGGCCCTTCCTTGACTTTCCCAACGCCCCATCCATCGGCACCTCAAGGTTAGACTCCCTGTTTTCTCTGTTTGCGCGTTAGAGGCAAGGTCGAGCGTATGAGCCAAGAATGAGACCTGTCGGGATGGTATTTTGGATGGATGGCTCACAGTCTGGTTGGATGACGCTGCCAAAAATTTCATTCAACTTGCCCCTTGCGCTAAGTTTGCTGTGGTAGATGCTGACCCGTGGCTTTGCAGATATTCCCTATGGCCGCAACAAAAGCTACGAAGGGTAAGGCCGCAGGTGTGTAGCCATTAGCTCGATTTCTACATGATCTAAGGCGTTGTGCAGCCAAGACTTCAAAAGACGTTAAGGCCAAGGCGGCCAAAAAGGCAGCGCTCCAGGGTTCTCACTCTCACTCTTCACGCAAGACGCGGTTGTCAGTGTCGTTCCACCGCCCCAAGACGCTCCGATTGGCCCGTAACCCCAAATACCCGCGTAAATCCATTCCACACACACCAAGGATGGATCAGTTCCGCACTATCGTCTCGTAAGATTGCATGCTACAATTGCTTGCATATGACCTGACTTTTTTGACAGACCTCTGAACACTGAATCAGCAATGAAGAAGATTGAGGAGCACAACACGCTGGTGTTCATTGTCGACATCAAGTCGAACAAGCGGCAGATCAAAGATGCGGTGAAGAAGCTGTATGATGTGCAGGCGGCCAAGGTAAACACCCTTATCCGGTAGGTGGCCCTGTGAAAATTTTAATTGGGCTGCTCTGATGGCTGGACAGACCGGATGGCAAGAAGAAGGCATATGTTCGCTTGACACCTGACCATGATGCTCTGGACGTCGCCAACAAGGCAAGTGGAGTACTCTTTGCGGTCTGAAGGCCCGAAGACTGACCGAGTATTGATATTAGATTGGATTCATCTAAGTAGTTCTGTATGCAATAGGACCCAATATGAGTGTCTGCCATTTATTTTATTATTTTGAGAAACATAAAAATATCATTATCCGGGTCTGTTCCGAAGAGCGTATTTGTTCGTGTTTCGTTGCTATGATATTGGAAGCCGAGGTGCGTCACAGATGTCACATTCTGATCTTTTCGCCGCTCTTTCTTCTGGTTGGCGTCGTCCTTTGACTTTTTGGCATTTACGCCACTTTCCCGTCCGCTCGTGCAGCCCCTCACGCTCCTTCCCTTACCGCCCTCACCACTGGCTCTCTTATTTCCCTTGCTGTCCAGCGACAGTGACAGTACCCCGTAATCCTCTCCATGCACCGTCTGCATATTTATTCCCTTGTTCTCTTCGTCTCTCTCTTCGCTGTTCATGTCGACGCTATTCACGCCTCTTACCAACGATCCCATGCACGTCGCTCTCTATTGAATAAGCGGCAGAATCTAGACCAGGGCATAGGTACCTTTCTAGCCTTCTTTCACCGCCCATTTCCTCACCTTTCGACCGACGCTAGGCTCTAGCAGTAGCAACGGCGACGGCATCAGCTCCACCGACAGTACTGCGAGCCAGACGTCCTCTAGTTTGCTGTCCAGCATCGTTCAGGATCTCACTGGCAGCATCTTTGATGCTAGCTCCAGCGCCTCCTCGTCGAGTAGCAGCGGCCTCAGTATTTTGCCTGCAGTCACGGCGACCCCAACAGACACATCATCGTCCACGGTTTCATCAACAGCGTCGATGACTGATTCGTCTGCGTCGTCGACATCAGCCGCTGATTCCGCTTCCCTGACCACGGCGTCTACGACCGATTCATCGGCTTCGTCTTCCTCCTCATCTGATACGCCTAGCCAGACTCCTCAGGAGACTGCTTCCACGACCTCAGATTCGGCCGCGTCTACTGGTGAATCTTCCACGTCTTCTGATTCCGGTGTTGTCTCCACTCACACCAGTGACCTCCTTCCATCAGATACCGCCACGTCATCGGAATCGAGCTCGACAGGCTCTACTTCATCAACTGATTCATCGGCGACATTTACCGGGGCGTCCGTAACAGAATCCACGCTCTCCACAACCTCCGCCGTCACTTCCTCTTCTACTGATGCGGGTTTCATCTCCAGTATCGTGTCCAGTTTGACCAGTACTCTCTTGACTGGAGACTCGACCACTTCATCCGTGGAATCGACCGCCACCTCTGATTCTAGTTCTACCCCTGTCAGTACGGATACACCGACCTCGACCACTGCAGATAGCACGACTTCGAGCCCTGCAACCACATCCTCCTCTGATGGCGCCACTGGCTCCGCTGATACTCAGACGACTTCCTCGAGTGATGCACCAGCGTCTACGTCATCTTCCGACAGTGGTAGCACCGTCAGTTCTCCAGCTTCCACATCGTCGAGCGAAACACAAGCATCCGCTGCCACGTCGTCCTCTTCGGATGGATCTGCGTCAACCACCGCTAACGACTCGTCGGGTAGTACTGATGCCCCGGCTTCCACATCAGCGAGTGATACACTTGCGTCGACTTCTTCGACTGATGCACCCACATCAACTTCTTCAGGTGGGGGTATACTGAGTAGCAGCACCCTTAATCCCACACAGTCCACCTCAAGCGGATCAGAAGCACCAGTCTCGACCTCCAGCGGTACAGATGCACCAACTTCCACATCATCAGATGGCGGGATCCTAAGTAGCATTACAAGCATTCTCAATCCGTCTCAGTCAACGATGACCGGTTCAGATGTAACGGTATCGACCTCCAGCGGTTCGGATACGCCGGTTTCCACCTCTTCTTCGGACAGTGGTAGTACAACCATTTCTAATCCTCCAGAATCCACCTCCAGCGGTACCGATGCGCCTGTGTCTACAACGTCGGATGGAAGTTCTGTTACCGTCATTGCCTCCTTGTCCACTGACAGTGGCTCCACCTCAGCGACAGATTCTATTTCCATCTCCATCTCGGTTTCTGTCCCAGTGACTGTTTCCTCTACTGACAGCGCATCGGTGACGCAGAGTGGGAGTGTTTCTGCTACTGATGGTGTGTCAGTGAGCCAGAGCTCATCAGCGACCGATAACGTATCAGTAACGCAAAGTACAAGCGTCTCCGTCACGGACAGTGCATCGGTATCAGTGACTCAGAGCGCGAGCGTGTCTGTCACGGATAGCGCATCGCTCTCTCAGAGTGGAAGCGTCTCTGCTACGGACAGTGTTTCAGTGACATCGACCATGAGCGTCTCCGCTACTGATGGTGTTTCGGCGACACAATCCGCAACTTTGTCTGCTACAGACAGCGTATCGGTCTCTCAGAGCGAAAGCGTCTCTGCTACGGAGAGTGTGTCTGCTTCTCAGAGCGGCAGTGTCTCCGCTACGGAGAGCGTCTCGGCTTCACAGACGGTGTCAGAGAGCGTCTCTGTAACACAAAGTGCCAGTGTTTCCGCTACCAGCAGTGTTTCTGTCACTCAGAGCGGCAGCGACTCCATCTCCTTAATATCGAGTGCCAGTGCAAGCGAATCAGTATCTGCCTCGACTACTGGTAGCGAAAGTCATTCCATTATCAGTGAGACGTACACCAACACGGCAACGTTATCGTCTTCGACCATCACATTCCCTTCCGGTACTAGTACTCCGGAGACTGCTACCATTACCTCCTCTGTATTCAGTGTGAGTGTGACGACAACCACCGAATACCAAGTCCCATCAGATCTCAGTTTTGTGTTAACGGCGTCCTCGCTCCAGATCGATAACCAACCCACAACGACGTCTTCCCAGAGCTTATCTGATCCCGACCAGGTCACCACCAGCATCTCGGATATTCCGACCACTGCCGCGACGACGTTTACCGCTGCTAGTCTCCCTACCAATCTCCCGTCAAGGATTTTCCCTAAAAACGGCATGACTGGAGATGAGGATCTCACTGGGTTTACCTTCATCAGCATCGCGTTCTCGACTGCTACGTTAGGATGGGTTTATGTCACTCAAAACTCTCTTACATCAAGTCAAATCTTGGCTTACACCCCTGCCATTTTAGTGAATGCACTGGGACTGACGAGTATATCAATCAACTATAATTCTCTGAGCAGGTGCTAATATTCATAAATTTGCAGGTGATCAAGTAATGTCATGGTGTCTTCAAGTCAACATCCCATCTGGATACCAGAATGCGTCCGACGCCGCCCTGCTGCAAACCATGTGGACCGGGTACATCCCTTCAGTTGATGTTGACACGCTCGCGTCTCTTCTCCGTGTCTCGTCATCTTCAATCTATACCGATGATTCCGACCCTGTAGCGCACGAGCTCGCATCCCAAATTCAAAGTGCTGTTTCACTCTTCTCCGTCTCCGATCCTAATTCTTCTGGATCTTCTGACTCTTCCAGCTCTACTTCTGGAAGCACGTCGACAGATACAACCCGCCAAGACGCTATTATTGGCGTCGTTAGCGCGCTGGGCGCGATCGCGGTTCTGGTTCTTCTCTTCCTCGTCTACCGCACTGTGCAGCGTCGCCGGGAGCTCGCGCACCGTAGGCTGTCTGATCCGCCCGATGCGGCGGGTATTCGGCCAGCAGGAAGAGAGTTTGACCAAGATACTGTTGGTGGGCAGAGGCGGAGAAGTTTCTTCTATGCGGAGGATTCACTCAGAGGCTTCCAGGGAGAACGTCCTGTTGAGGACAGCTACGACGCACGGACAACCAGCCCTTCGATGATGCAGCGAAGGACAGTTATGCCTTCTGCGATCTCAGCTCCAATCTTGAGAGAGAGCAGTATGAACTGGTGATAGTTGTTTTCGGACTTTTTGTTTTAAAGCTTTACCCCATCATCCCTGCCGGTTTTCTATGACCTCCCTCCACCCTTCACTCCGGATCTCAATACCGATAACTGCATATACCAAGGTTCTTGTCGAATTTGGTCTGCGCGTCTTCTCCCTGCGTTGTTCTTTCATGTTGGGGCTAAGGCGTCGTTTGATGTAAAACGACATATGTGTGCTTCTTAATTTATCTTTGGAGAGCCACATCTTTTTACTGCTTATTTCTTACATGATAACTGCTGTTTAGTTTTCTGTTGCTTTTTTTTTTATCTCTATACTCGGGGCTTTTTTGAAAGAAGTATGTGTGCATGCAGGTCAAGCAACCAACTTGAAGCCAGATCCCATTTTCAATGTAGTTCATTGGGGTCACTCTTAGAAACTCGCTTTATGAGTGTTGATTGTTTTACCTGTAGTCCTCCTTGGTTCTACTTTCTAAGGACTATCTTTGTCTGATGTATATTGATAAAAAAAGTCGAAGCATGTATATAGTGACGTTCGACGTCGGATAGGTCTATTCTTGCGCTTTTCTTCGACATTCCCGCGAAAGTAGGTGTCTTCTCGTTGTGTTGGAAGCGAATTCGGACTTGGAGGTCAGAAGTGCTCGACATCGGTATCGCTATCTTCCACGCACGGTGCCGTCGTCGACAGTACCCCATCGCATTCAACTCTCAAACTATTTTTCCGAACCCCACATCATTTATATGTCCTTATCTGAGCAATCGGAGGCTTCTTGTATGCTTGTACTGGTACACAGAGATCTATCACTCCAAATCTCGCGGCTACTACTGCCAATTTAGCGTACCACTGATGTCCACGATTCTCAAACTTTGACTAGTAATGATCGTAATTAGCACCCAGGAGCTTAACTGAGCCACGCCGCGGTCAGACTACTTGGTGCCGCTATTTTCGACGATCTTCGTAAACTAAGATCCTCTTTTCCTCGTCTGTCTCATCCCATTCCACTCATCAATACCATGTCAGAGCCTATGGGAATACCTACGTCATTCCTTACATATTCATTCCTCCTTCTTGATCCATCTCTAGTACTATTCTTGGTGAATGCTGACCACACCTGCACCTTCAGCATCAAGCAGAAATAGAAAAGGACTCGGAAACGCACACTCAGCTCGACAATATTCAATTACTTATACCTCGAGGACGCGACGGATTCTTGGCTCGTCTCCTCAGGCTCCGTCCAGTGTGCCTGTACCTATTCTACCACATAAACCGTGTTTTCGTGGAGCTAGATGAAACATGATTCGACAATTTTTTTTCTCTTCTCTGCATTGAGCCTCGAAACTCTGGAGTTATTGCCGGCGCTTTGACACAGGGTTGGATGGTCGAATTCATGGTTATCTTTATGAAGCTATGGGATGGGTTCCTCGGTGTCTCCACTAATTCGGGTCCTTTTCTACAGTTAGCTTGATGTCGATGACGTGCTGTGCTGAGGCTTACGACGTACAAGCTCGGTAATGGATAATCATTGAGGAGGACCACTCTCGCCGTTGCATACGGCGCATATTGACATGTGGCTGGTATGTTCTCTTTCCTATACCATCGACTAAAGATACTATAATGTCTCCGGAAAGTTAAGATGAGTGACGTATCCAATCCGTTGATACTGTCTGAGCGTCATGACTCAATGTTTCGCCATCTCTTCGGGCCATTATCTACTTCCTGACATGGATCTGCCCGTCGAGTGCTTAACGGTCACAGTTGCAATGTTGTTTTCATCTAGCATGTTCGATACAAGCGATAGCTGTAGGCGCCTTGCCAACTTGAAGTTGAAGTATGAACGATTAGTATTATCCTGGGAGGCTGTTAGTAAATATTCGCTGTAGATTTCAAGCGCCTATATGATATGAATCTATAGACAAAGCACATGAAAAGACCGGACAAAGCTGGATGTTGAATATTTGGGCGGCAAGGCAGCTGCTTCCGACATCAAAATGTTGTCCCGTGACCCATGATGAACTGCCGCACGGCTGCGCTTCCTCCCTTTCGTTCAAGACACCGTTTTACTTTTTTCTCTAAAATCTCATGGCGTCAGGCCTGTCGAGACGGCGAGTAGCGGCATCGTCGTCATCAACGTCGCTCTCTCCACCCACTCCGCCCTCGACCAATAACGTCGGCGGCGGCACATTCTCAAATACCAATACAAATGGCGGTGGACACGCAGGCTCAGCATTCGAAGGCGGTACCAGGATTGCATACGACCCACGAGATCTCGCGAGTGCAGATTCTGAGCAGCAGCCGAAACTGACGTTGATGGAGGAAGTACTCTTGCTGGGCATCAAAGACAAGCAGGGATATCTCTCTTTTTGGAACGACAACATTTCGTATGCCCTTCGCGGCTGCATACTGCTCGAACTCGCGCTTCGACGACGTATACTGCTCGTCAATGACCCGAACCGTCGACATTTACCCCTTGCCGAACGCTTAGTCGAGGTGCGAAGTGATAAGCTCACGGGCGAGACTATTCTCGACGAAACGCTGAGAATGATGAAAAACCAGGAATCTGTTGAGAGACTGAGCGTTGGCAGCTGGATTGATCTATTATCTGGTGCGTGTCGTTACGAGCGAGAAAGCACATTATTATATCTTTATGTAGGTGAGACGTGGAACGTCCTAAAAATCGGGTTCCAGCTCAAGCAAGTTCGTGAGCGCCTTGCCAAGGGCCTTGTCGATAAGGGTGTCCTTCGCACCGAAAAGCGCAATTTTCTCCTGTTTGACATGGCCACTCACCCAGTTGCCGATGTGCGTACGAAGGAATCGATCATATCCCGTGTCGTTTCTCTCCTTACCGCCACCACGTCGACTGTACCTCCAGAAGCCCTAGGGAAGGAAGAGGCTGTCAAGGAGCGTACAGCGCGTGCCGTCTGTCTCGTCTGCGCCGCTTACACTGCCAGCGTGCTCGATAATGCTTTTGGCAGGCTTGGATACGAGGAGCGTGAGAGTGCATTCCAGCGGTGTGACGAGATACTCGCAGAGTTTAGCGTCTGGCCGTTTGGATCAGAGAGCGGATTAGGGAACGGGAATAGCTCTAGGAGAAGGAATAGAATTGCCGAGGGCAGCAGGACCGATGGCAGGGAAGCTGTTATTGGCTTGGTTAGTCAAGTTAAACGTGAGGCTGGGGGGCCATCGGGAGAGGGCGAAGACACCACGTTTGAGCTCGTCGCGGCCGTGCTGGATGTTCTAGCCAAGCTGGACTCATTGATATGATGGTAAACAGCTTGAAAATCACGTCGTTCTGAAATACATAGGTTCAATTTTCTCACTCGCGGAAGGTGGTCGGAGGAATGGATTTGGCGGTGCGCATATGCGATTTCTGAGCCAAAAAAATGAGTCTGACATGTATTTATTTCCCTCCAGTTATCGTGTACTATTACATGCCTAATTCAGGGATCTTACTATCTGCATGATTTTCGGTTTTTATCGTCTTACGAGTATATTGGGTCAGTTCTAGCAGTCGCGAAAGCTTTTGACGTATTCCCTCTTATAGGCGGTTATTCTAGAGGTTGTGACTATATATCTGATCTATACCCAATGCTAACATCTCGTGGACCCCGGACTCTTTAAGCTGGAAGAAACGCAATGGGAAGATGGATATCTGGTACTCCAATGACCCAATGGGCAAAGGGATGAGTCCATTGACGGAAAGAGTAAGTATAATTTCACTCCCAAAAAGACAGCATCATTCTGGCAGGACATTTTCGGAAGGATTTCTATCATTCACAAGCACGTACGTGGGAGCAAAATTGTATCCGCGCCCCGAGGACTACGACGCTCTCGCTACCAATACTCAACCACGCTTAAGTAGTACAACATTCATGCATTTCGTATCTTATTGTGCAACCGTTGTTGAGGGGATTTCGTGCCGCTACTTAGACATTGAGGCGTCTGGATGCCGCAAAGATACATATGTACTTAACCTTTTCATCGCCTTTTCATTTTATTTCCATCGATATCGGAAGCTGCCACGTGGCTCCCGACGATCGTCCGTACCCCGCAGCCACAGCCCGCCTCAAATACTTAAACCCATTCGAATACAGCCGGGATGATAGCAACGACCACTTCGGCGTCAGAAGCCAACTGCCAAGAGACATCATACCCTCGCCACACGACAAAAAGTTCCAAAAACTTGTGTTGATTCTGGGTCTATGCATGTATGAAAATCCTAGATGAAATAGATAAACAAACCAACCATTTAAAAACCGGCCCTAATGACAATACCCTCTTACTGTCCCATATTTACCTTCGCAACGAACCCTGTCACCTCCCTCGAAACGACGCCACGGCACGAAATAACATACAAATACCCAGGTCGCTCACCTTACGGGTAACGATATCCCTCTTCCTCCCCCAACAAGGCCTACATGGGCTTTTCCCCGGCCCTTCCCTCGAGCCTCAAACAAAACACGGGTCATCCGTGCACGTTCTCGCCTGATCTGCAGCCGCGACGCCACATTAGCGAATGAAACGCAAGACGAGAAGATTAAACCGCATACCTCTTCCTCTGAGACCTTCCATCCCCGCTCCCGTCCAATCCGTTCAATGTCGCCTCTCCCAACACACACGCCTCGTCTCAACAGGTCTTTTGCCTCGCTATTAGTCTTACAACTCATCAGTTTTGGTCGAAGGAGGGTCACAATCGTCAGAAGGGTTTTTATCACCGTCGGCAGGCCATCACATAGCCACGTATCCCATACTCGCCGAAGCTCCTCCTCATCGCCATCAGAGTTCCGGATGACACCGACGAACCCCCTTCGCACACCAGCTTCGCGTATAAGCTTCCCAGCGGGTATTCCCAACGTCGTGAGGAGATGATGTGCTAGCTGACCATCTGCCTTGCCCAGCGCCCGTGAAAACAATTCGCCATCAACCTCCAGCGCTTGTTCATCTGCCGTAAAGTACCCGCGTAGCGACGAGTCCATCACGCAGCAGAATATCCAAAACGCGTCTTGTTCAGGTGCGAGAGTGAGGAGGAACGTGAGAATCAAGGAGAGTTCATCGCTCCCAGCTACATCTGGACACATCCTACGATATGCGCGCGAGAGCTTTTCGGCCGGAGAGGATGCGGTGGAGGTTTCCGATGCAAGCAGAGCAGTTAGCGCTGCTTGCGACTTTCCACGTGGGCCAGAGGTGAGCATACCACCTCCCACGGCGCCTAAGATAAGTTATTGATGAGAATATAGTATGCATTTGGCGTGCATGTCTTACCATTCGAACTAGGTTGTTCTTTGCCGTCTTTGTCTCCGCCGACCAACTCCATCCAAACCAGCCACCGCACGCTCATAGGTATACTGCCTCCCTCCATAACTAGCTTTCGTAGCTTCTTTTGCTTCGATTTCGGCGTGGACAATATAGCGAGGAACTTGGTCTCGCGATCGCGATCCTGTTGCTTTTCTTGGGCCGACTTCTGCCTTTCTACGGGCATCGTTCGGGCTGGAGGGAACGGCGAAGACGGGCTTGAGGATGAAGGAGAAGTAGATATTGGGGATGGCGCTATGAGTTCAAATTCGGTGCTCTTGACTTGAATCTGCTGTCCGCTTGACTGAGATTTAATTGAGCCTGTGTCGAGAGACGGTCGTACACTCTCTGAAACGCTAGGTCTAGACTGAAACGACGGAGGACGTTGGGATTGAAGGGTAGCAACACGATGTGAGACAGTACGTGCACGGAGATTTGGAAGGGAGAGTTTACGCGGCGGAGATGTGGTAGGCGTGATAGATGGCGGTGGTAAGGTCGGCGGAAGGGGGAAGGAAGACAGAGAAGCAGGTGAATTTCCCCTTGGAGGCATGGGAAAAGCAGAGAGGGATGCTGGAGATGATGCAGTGAGCGGTGACTCGTTCGTTGGAGGCGGTAGCAACTCGGAATTTGATTCCGGAATTTTGGTAAGTAAGGAAAGAGAGTGAGATGCAGAGGTGGCCGTAGGTGAAGAAGGTACCGGCGAAGGTGGAGATTCAAATGAAAGCCAGGTTAGGATAGGCTTTGGAGCAATTGAGTTTGAACGGAGACGAGAGGGCGGAGATGGTGTTGCCGTTGTCACGATAAGTGGAGCCGTTGATGCTGTTCGCATACGTGTCGGTGACGGTGTTATTTGCTGCATTGCTGCAGCGCGCAAATCCGAGAAGCTTCTGCTTCTTGGCCGTGGGGCAGGTGGTCCATTGAACGGTCGCGGCAGTGGTGACGGAGATTCGCGTAAAGCGGAAACGCTGCTCCTTGTCCTCAAAGGGCTGCTGGTCCGAGGTGCGAACACCGGCGGCGGTGGTGGAGGTGGGGGGGGGTCAACAGTGAACGTAATCCCCACTGGTCCGTGTGCACTAGAGAGATCACCCAGTGTTCTACCGTAGATCGTGGCACCGTTGGGTAGGGTGAGAACGTGTTTGAGTGTCGGTATGAGGTTGTTGGACGTTGGAGGCTCCACTGGCGCTGTCGAGGGTGCTCGAGGCGCGTTTGGATGAGGAAGAAAGAGAGATTCTCGTGGTCCATCCGAAGCAGATGGGTGGATCCGTTTCCTGACCATCAGAAGCGGCGTTGATGGTGGGGACGTTATTTCTGGAGGAAGAGATGGCGCTAGGGGTGATGGCGGCGGCAGCAAAGGCGTGGAGGTGGGAGAATCGTCGGGCGGGAATGTGGACGACGTTGGCGAGGCCGTCGGGGAGTAGTTGCTAAATCGGGTGTGGAGAAGGGGAGATGGTAAGGACTGCGAGGGACCGTTGGTGGAGTGCATGGAGGACGTCGACAGTGACTGATGCTGCATTGTCGCTCTAGAGTACCGGTAGTCGTCGTAAATATCCCACACTGACAGACTCGGCGACCGTGACGGATCCTCCTCGCTATTCCTTCGTTCCTCCTTCGTTACCTCTCGCTCTTCATCCGCTGTCGTCGTTGTCGGAACAGTCGCCTCCATTGTCGTCTCAGACTCTGTCGCCGTAGTCTCAACTATCACCATGATCTCTTCTGTCGTTTCATCCGTTATCTCTTTGGTTGTCTCTACTGCAGGCAGCATATTTTCATCGCTGTAGACGCTGTTGTCGTCTTCGCCGTCCGACTCCTGCAGCAACGCAAACCCAATGTTCATCCCAGCTGATTCTCTGTCCACTACTGTTTCTGCCACACTTATTGTTGTCGACTCGCGTACTGTTGACGACCCAGACATTGACTCGGGCGGCGAAATAGCCATGCTGTCACCATCAGACAGTGGACGAACGTCTTCAACCGAGCTGGTGCTCGTATCAGGTGGAGCCGTGAACATGGTATAGTTGTCCTTGACCTTATCCTCGACCTCCAGAATCTTTGCTTCTTCACTGAAGGTTCCCTTTGAGAAGAGCGGGCTTTTTGGCGTGTCCAGGATATTCAGGGAGCTGAGTCGACTGCTTCCTCGTTTTGCAAGGACCGGTTTCTTTAATCGTTCTCCTTTCTCAAATCGAACGTCTGTGCCATTGAATCGTCCAACAACGCCTTCACAGTAGCCAAGGTACCATCCTTCGTCAGGTGGAGGTAGTTGCATGAGAACAATAATTAGGTCGTCCTGCAGAGGAAAGACGAATGTTGTATCGAAATATCAGAAAATGTAGACTTGAAGAAGGCACAGAGAACATACCTGGAGAAACATCAAATCGTCCCCGCTTTCTGCAATACAGTCTCTTATTGCCGTACATTTTCCAATTCCTCCTTTGCCTGCAAACCGCGTCCACCGCGCCAGCTGCGCCCCATCCATGAGTTCGACGATGACTTTGGACAGCGATCAATAATATTCGGTAAGGGAGCGTAGAGGGTATTATTATAGGGAGAATGGGGTGTAAAAGAAAGCAGCAGGCAGCCGGGACTACGTAGGCGGGGCAAATTAAGCAGCGAGTCGCTCCCGAGGTTCAAAGGTATTTTTCCAACCACGTGGAGAGGTAGTTGCCGTGATGTCATCATTCTGATAGGACGGGCCGGGACCCGATGTGCCTACGGCCCTGATCTCGCCGCTATGCCTCTGGCTGCTCCTCGACTGTGCAGCCCTGCGCCTGAACCTTGAACCTTGACAATCCACCTCAGTGAATTTTAAAAACAACGGTTGGTCACACTTGTGCCATGGCTGGGTGATACATCAGCATTCTGTATCTCATGCATCATGATTCATGATGTGGATAAGCTGATGAACATACAAGGCTATAAATTCTTGATATCCCAACTGCATTAGAATGCAAGAAAACCAAAACTGTACCTAACAGTAGGCAGCCTAATGCTTGGATCACATCATTCTTGTCTAGCTTCAGGTTTGAGGTTTCTCTCTGTCTCTCTGCTCATTCAACAATGCTTTGGAGCTGCTAGAGCAGGAATTCCAATTTCTTGCCTCCCTTTCACCGGAACGACCTCTTTAAAGCCATAATTCTTCCATGAGCAGATGACATTTCTTACAATGTTCAGTGTCACTTTGTACTCACAAACAGCTTGCTGAAACCTCTTGGTTTGGATACCATCTCTGATTTGCATCTGAAGCACCCACAAGCTCCTTTCCAGTACTTACTGTCACTTGATACTATCTGTTATAGACCTTCAAAACATCAGATCAGTGTCAGTGCATCACCTCCAAGAAGTCTGACTCATTAGAGTCAAGCCATGATTATGAGTAGTGTCTCTTAGGAGTATGATAATGCATAATCTTCCTAATGATGATCTTAGATCTCAGCATTAATCATGGCACATCTGTGGCCTTAAAAACATACCAAACTTTCAATAGAACAACACATTGTTACTCCAACCTTGCTGTTATGATTATCAGTAGTGCACTACAAGATATATGTAGGAAATTAAAGAATTATAATTATGTTGAGTTCTCAACCTAAAAGGATCTGACAAGCACTAAGCATAGCTAGGGAGAATATAAGTACTCAGCACAACCAACAGAGAGTCTCAGAGTTCACAGTGACACAGCTGTTAGAATCTGCAAGAGAGTTTGAGCAATCCAGCATTCTGGCATGATGAGTAAAAAAGGAATCTGAGAGAAATTGAAGAAATTAGATAGAAACTACTAGAAAAGGAGTAGTCTAGTATAAATATGAGAAGTCAATGGGGAACTCCTCAGGAGTTTGTAATCCAAGGACTAAAGGTCTTATAAGCATGTACTCTGGATACAGTCTAAATCTCAACAACAGCTATGGCCCTCACCTCATGAAGATGATACTGACTGTTGCTGCTTGGTTATGGGACTATTATTGGAACTTTCCTTCTTTATGCCCACATATTCACCACTAAAGGTGATAGCATTTGCCATGATATCCTCTAAAATATCCTTTGGAGAGAATTTTTCCATGGTGCTTTGCACATACTGGACATTCAGCAAAGCAAATGATGGGTCTGAAGATTCTGCATCAACAAATCAGTCAAGCTGAGAATTTGCATGAAGGAATGCAAGAATATGTAGAATGGTATGGTCTCCTACCTCAGTGCAGCAGTTAAAGAGAGCATCTAGAAGCTCACAGAGATAAATTGGAAGGCCTATAGTAGTCACTTTCAGCATAGCAGTGTTAAGATTGTGCAAGACTAAACTTTCCACAGCTTGTCTTGCATCATTAGTGCATGTCTTTTTGGTTAATAGTCTTAAATAGTGCAGGGCATTAAACAGGATCTTGTCATGACTAGGACACACTCATGTTCCTACCATTCAGAGATGTATCCATCTTGAGAGAGGTTTCTAGCTTCTGAACTCTCTGCAATGAGTTGATCTTCTGGAGTTACAATATGAGAGAATGTCTGACTAATATACTGAGTACTTACATTTTCACACAGTACATGTTCTGGCTGTAAACTCACTAGAGCATCTCAAACTTCTGACTCTATAAGAGGTTCTCCAGTGGTTCCATCCAAGCTTAGACTCAGGAAGGCCCAGAAAAGACTCTCATCTGCAAGCTTCAATGCAAACAGCAGAACAGAAGCAGAAGAGTCAATTGAGCTAATGCAGAATACAGTCTTGTGCTCATGCCTCAGCCAAGCTAAAGTGTCATCCCTGCTCTTAGAGATATAGACCAGGTGTTTGAAGGTGCTAAGAGTATAAAATAATAGCTCTGCATCCAGACTATTAAGAGGAACAAGAACAGCCATCTGCATAGCCTATTCTGACTTCATCATCAGAAAGGCAAAGAGGTTAGTCAGAGAACAGAGCTCAGAAAAGACATGAGTGAGACATAAGGCCATAAAGCTCATTGCAGAAAAATGATTTTGATATCACAGCTTTAAGCAAAGATAAAAGTCTATATTTGATATTGATCAATTTTGCTTCAAGAAGCATCAAGCTCTGGTGATCAAGTAGATTAGCTTATCCATCACTAGCTGCTGCATATCTTTGTTAATGCATCTACTCATAGTAAATAACACAGTGTTAACTATCAGTTCCAAAGACCAAGTGATGATCAATAGTAACAAGACAATTGATAAGCAAATTGTAAACAGTTGTAGTGACTGAAGGCACTTAGAGATGGTCAATGCCCACCAAAGAGGTGAATATTCACATGGCACTCATATTGATCAAATTTTGGCATTTTTATACACACATAGGTTACAGAAAGTGATATATCTTCCTCCACTGATATAAGGAGTTTACTGTTCTTTGGTCTATATTTTGTGATCATAGAAAAGGTATCATCAATATGTCAGTGTAGGCTTTGAAAACTAGCCAACAATGGCAGGAGTAGAACTGCTGCTATAGGTCTATGCCTATAGAAAAATGCTAAGCATGCTGCCAAACAATATAGATAATACATACTTTCCACAAAACTATTTTTACATACACTCCTTGAATTATTCATCAGATGTACTCATATTCAATGATGATAGTAGAAACTGTGATATGTAGTTTTGCTGCATGTCCTTCAAGTTGAATCCACTAGTATCTGAACATCTATATCTTCTTCATTTCTCATCTTCAAAGTAATCACAGAGAATTTCTGTCTCTGAGATAACAAAAGTGATGTTATACTCTTTGGTATAATGGTGCCAGGTCAATAAGATTTTGTTCAATACAGGATGATCCTCAAATGCCCCCAAAAACAGTATGTGCTATGTGTTACAATGTTGGCTTTATTGAGGACAATGTAGAAGAGTGCATCAGATGTCTACAAGGAAAAAATATCATCCAAAGTCTGATAAATAGTCTCATTAAGAAAATCAGTTGGAATAGGCCATTGTGAGATTACTTCCATGAGCTCCAGCAAAGGATTCTCACAGCAACCATTCTCATCTGGTTTGGAGATCATATACAGCTGCAACTAGACCTATAACCAACAGCACCAGAGGTCATTTGCTGAAGAATTTTCTAGCATTGCTTGCAAAAATCTCTTAAAAAAGCAAGTAATAGAAAAGAGTCTCATTGAAAAGACAGTAGGTATACTGTTGATTGAAAGCCAAATAAGAGTCAAAGCTGGCACCTTCCTTCAAAGGAAGAAAATGGCTGATATAGACATCTCAATGTTTTCTCCATGTCCTTGGATCTAAGTTTAAATGAATTGATGATTGCTATGAAGTAAAATTCCCAGTTCAAACAGAACCCTTCTATTAAGAGTCTTGTTTTGTCAGAACCAGGCATGTTAATGAGAAATTTGGAATTCAAGGAGTCAAACTATATCAAAAATGAGTTTATCTTCATAAGCTCATATGTGTTTATCCCTCTGGAAGATATTAGTTATGCACATGCTCAAAGCAGGATTGTCACTGTTAGGATAACAATCCTGAACAAGTATGAGAATGTACTCAAAGATGCTATATTGGTCAGCAGCAGCTGACTTGGACTGTGACCCATACTTATTTAGTATTTCATAGAAAGATCTCAAAGTAGTACAGAATGTATTTAAGTAGAATGTCTCTCTCTCAAGAGACTAATTCTAATCTTCTGTACATTACTCTGCTCTCTACTTACAACAGATTATAGGCCTCAGTCATAACTGAACTTACATTACTACTCACTTTGCATTCTTTTGTACTTTATATACACACATAGAACTGCATGGATAGCCAGTCCATATATAGAATTGACCTCCTTAAGGGCTCAGAAAATTACCTGATATGAAAAATCAAAATAATCAATATCCTAACTGATTTAGGACTAATTGATTATGCAGACAGAAGCACTCTGGCCCTGGCAGATATGACACTGATGGCAGATTGGAAGAAGAGTGATAGAAAAGCTCTGAAAGATATGCATGAGTCCAGAGGACCCATAGAAATTGTTCTTGTCAGAAGGAAATTCTTCAGAGCTCAGTGTGAAGAAGGAGAAAACATAGAGGAGTATATTAGGACTATGAGATCCTATCAGGAGGAGCTGGCATCTCTTAAGCAGAAAGTTGGGGAGGAGGACTTCTCTATTACACTACTTACATCACTCTCAGAATCATGGAATTCATTTATCTCATCAGCAGATACTGCTGACTTGAAAGATTCTTACAAGTTGATTTTCTGAATTCTTCAGAAAGACATCTGATTAAAGAAAAAGACTTTTGATTGGACTATAACACTTGCAGCACATGGCAAGAAGTCCTATCTAAAAGTCACATGTTATAGATATAGGGAAACTGGTCATATCAGAATAAATTGCCAAAATAGAAAAAGAATTCTGAAAAGTCATGGAAAGAAAAGGGAAGGGGTCAGACTCAGGCATGTGTTGCTAAATCAGACTCAGAAGAAAATGACTATGTATTTTATGCAACAGATATTGCACTTATCTCACTCTCAGGAGTATCATAGCTAGAGGACTCTGGCACCACCAGATATATAGTTAAAAATAGATTAGATTTTTCTGACTATATTAAAATCCTAAGACATGAAGTCATTGGTGTAGGCAAATCCAAAGGCTTGAGAAGAGGAACTGTTAAGATTAAAATAGTTGAAGGAGAAAAGATCACTTCAG